AGTCGTTTAGGAATTCAAATACCTGGGGGCTATATTAGCGCCCGTGGGATCGAAGATGAGGTTACGAACCGTATTGCAAATGCTCGAGTTGCTTTTGCCAATATCCTCATTTGTGGCGCAGACGCGACATCACGCTCGCCCTGAAGTGCAGGGTTTATAATGCAACTACCTTATCAACTCTTCCATACGTTTGTGAAACCTGGCATAGCAGGTCGACAGACAAAAAGAGATTCGTCACTTTCGATTATCGCTGTCTTTGCAGCTTAGCTCATATCTGGTGAGAGCACTGCGTGAGCAATGAACGTGTTCGGCGTCTCGAGTGAACCGCTCAGCACTCGCATATCACGCAACAGGCTCCGATGAATGGGACACGTGTTGCACATGCCAGCACACCGTCTCCCGATATGTGCATTGTTTGGGGCAGGGGGTGCAGTTGGAAGTGGTGGATGGGAGGCCAATCGATGACTTGGTCGAGAGAAATGAAAGCCCTCAATTCGAAGCTAGCGTCGGTTGGTTCACTGCGTCGGCCTGGCTGGGCTGCTAAGAACGATGAACACGTTTGGTAGGACACACATGTTGATATGGCGCATAGTCGGCCACAATGGCGTTTGTGTTGGGGGTTCCTTGTCTATCACCCTCACATTTAGCTTCCTCCGCTAATCCTGACTCCACACAAAAGGCAATAGATAAGGTTGGACGTAATAGTACTTACTCGGCAGCTTTTTGGAGTGTGAGATTTGATCTCTTATATGCTTGTATTGCAGCATATTAGCTGAGGTGTTTCTCAACCCCAGTCAGCGTGCGTTGATGATGATGATGATGGTGATGATGATGATTATGACGATGATAATGATGAAAATGCTGACAATGATGAGGATGCTGCTGCTGCTGCTGATGATGATGACGATGATGAGGATGATGCGGATGATGACGATGACGATGATGATGATGATGATGATGATGATGATGATGATGATGATGATGATGATGATAATGATGATGATGATGATTTTGAGGATGTTGATGATGATGATGATGATGAGGATGAGGATGATGAGGATGACGATGATGATGATGATGGTGAAGATGATGATGTTGATAATGATGATGATGATGATGATGACGATGATGATGATGATGATAGTAATGATGATGTTTTTGAGGATGTTGATTATGATGATGATGACGATGATGATGTTGATGATGATGATGATGATGATGATGATGATGATGATAATGATGATGTTGATGTTGATGATGATGATGATGCTGATGTTGAAAATGATGATGATGATGACGATAATGATGATAACGATGATAACGATGATGATGACGCTGATGCTGATGATGATGCTGATGATGATGATGATGATGATGATGATGATGATGATAATGATGATAATGTGTATGATGTTGATGATGATTATCATGATGATGATGATGCTGATGATGATGGTGATGATGATGCTTTTGAGGATGTTGATTAGTATTATGATGATGATGATGACGATGGTGATGATGAAGATGTTGAGGATGTTGATGATAATGTCGATGATAAGGAGGAGGAGGAAGATGGTGCTGCTGCTGATGATGATGATAATGATAACTTAAGCTTCCATGAAAAGCGGTCATTTTAGTCGGTTTCATATCCATCTAAGTTGACAAAATACGAAACATTATTCAAGAACTTAGTGTATTACTTACCGAGGATACTTAACCGTCGATAGCCAGACGTTCTCTGAGTTGTCCTCTGTTTGGTGGCTTCGCTCTGTGAAGTGACCAGTAAATCTGATCCTTCTATGAAACCGTTTGATGTCCACTGCCAAGCCTGCATTTGTATAACTCTCTGATGCATGGGATTGACTGGGGAATTTACTGGAACCGATATAGCTACAAGTGTTGAAGTTGTAGGAAGCTGTTCGTTGGACAAAGGGGGTGTACATGTGTTAAAATAGTTCTCGGTTTCCTTCATCTCTTTAGGTCTTATTTCTGTGTGAGAAGCGCGTCTAATCCGGGCACACCAGAAGCCGAACAATGTTGACCTTGCTGTCCTATGCGGCTCAGTTTGCGTTAAACCTTCCAATATTTTGCAATTATGTGCGTGGACTGCGTGCTTATCTTTGGGCCATATGTATTGTGTCTTGTTTGAGGTGCACTGTACTCGTCTCGATGGCATAAAGAGCCGTGTGTCAGAATGATAATACCTAGCGTGATAAAACTGAGGTACGTAGCAGCTATCCAGTGGAATTTCTTCCCAGTTCCATTGGGGTAAACCAGCGTCCCTGGTGGATGGATTAGCTGATGTCGGTATGCTTGACGTTGAAACCTGCGTCGGGTCAGTTGATCTCAATGCTTTGAACGGCTTCCTTACTGGTGTCATGTTGTCCACATCAAAGTGAAACAATTCGCGCAGACGTTCTGTGCTCCGACGACAAGCCTCCATGGCCTCATCTCGAGACCGAGAGCTAGTCTTAACTCGATCCTTCGCATCAGAAGAAAGCTCTGCGAAAAGTCGCCGAATCGGTATCTCTTGTGACATCATACACCCTCAAATGGTATGTCGTCATGTGAGGTCATGCACATGGTTGTCTCATACTGTTGCTCATATATGATTGGCTGAGCACCGCAAGCATATAGCCAATAGCGGCACGTGCCGAAAAGTCCGGGTCAGAAGAGCCGACGAATGGACGCGTGGTGAGGTCAACCTGTGCAATGTGCCATGCCTAGAATGAACATAATTACGGCATGTCACGAAACGTGAGGAACTCGAACAAGAAACACTCTCCAGTTAGATGCGACGGGGGTCATGTGAATTGACGCAAGCCTATCGTTAATGAGGGTTATCTACGCAGAAGCACACACACACATCGCAAAGGCAGGCAACGCCTGGAGTTGCTGTGCATTTGGATTAGCGCGTTCCGTGCGTGATTTTTACAATCTTTTAATCACGGACAGCCTAAATTGTTATGAGGCCATCCGCAGGTATGGCAAATGAGGAAAATGCATGTGAATAGACAAAACACTGATGAATCGAGTTCGTGTTGCAGCTCACTTATGTTCTGTAGAACTTTTGTAACTAGATGACTTGCAAAGCGGTCCGTTGTTAAGAGAAAACTAATTCATTAGCCATAGACCATAGTAAAGTTTGCGTTCGGCAACAGGGTGGCGTATATGAGAAACTGCAGAACAGATGAACAGAGTAATTAGAAGTCACCTGGAAAGAATAGGAAAGCTTTCCACACGTTGGATGCATGAAATTTCCCGTCAAAATTCTACTGACATTTCGTATGTAGCACACTGAATGGGGTAGGTTGGAATTTGTGGAGGCCAAATACCATCTGGTCTCTCTGTACATTACTGAACTATTGGGAAGTAAAATTTAGGTAAGTGTCCGATCGAAATGGGGTAAACATTGTAGGCATTTCGACATCAGTGAACACTGTGTAAAAACCATGATACTGTCACCTAACGCTTGTTGCCGGACCTCAGATAAATGCATTGTGTTCTTACTCTATAGTTGCAATAGCCAAGTTATTTGAGTATAATCAAAACTTCTTCGTTGACATTCCCCTACCAATCAATGCCAGATGTTAAAAAGTAATTGAATATCGTTATTCAAATGTTCACAATTCAAATAGGAAAAATATACACCGACCACTTCAGTCCGAATTCCTGTACGTGCAATAGATTCGGTGTGTTAGAAACCAAACTGCTTAGAAACTCATGGGACTACCGTAAAATGTGTACATACCGGTTAACAAAGTAAAGGAAACAATGATAATTAAATCATTGCTTCTGCATTCACTGTCGGTACAAAATATACCGTTGATGGAAGGTTATTCGTGACGTCTCATGGTCGTTTCCCGCTCCGTACGCCATTGCATCCAGCTGTAGACAAATGTTTTAGTGAAAAGACCTGCTGCTGGACAATTGGAGACAACAGTTTATCGGAAAACGACACATACAAAGCAAATCTTGAAGTATCGCAGCAACCATCCAACAGTCTACAAGCGCAGCTGCGTAGCAACTCTATTTAAAAGAGCACAGACCCATTGCAGCATCCCAAAGCTGAGAAAAGCGGAGGAAGATCATCTGTTCGAAATGTTTGCACGGAATGGATATCCTAGAAATTTCATTATACGTTGTTAACACTTATACAAAGACCGACACAAGAACAAACATCAGAAGCGGAAAAAGGACAATCACTCTACCATACATCAACGGCATCTCTGAGATGGCGGCGAGACTCCTACGACCTTTCGGAATCAGAGTTGCTCACAAGCCGACAGAAACCATCGGAGACAACCTCTTCAATGGCAATGACCGGCTTGGCATGGAAGAAACAAGTGGTGTGATTTACAAAATCCACTGCAACAATTGTAACAAATACTATGTGGGCCAGACAGGAAAAAAGCTTGGCAATAGGCTACATGAGCATGGCCTAACCATCCGTCGACATGATCAGAACTCCCTGCTGTCAGTAAATTTGGACGCTGAGAATCATCAATTTGATTTGGAGAATGTCAGGATCATAGGCAGAGCAAAAAGTCGAAAAGCATGCAAGTTCATCGAGGCTTGGTACTCGGGAGAGCACTCAATCAACAGACACTTAGATCTAGACACTGCCTATGAGATACTGAGGGTTAAAATAATAGTCCGCCCCAGATCAACTGGACGAAGGAAAATCATTGAGGCGGACTCTAGCCGACAGTACGAGAGGGCTGACTACGCGGTCAGTTCACGTGGACCAATCGACTCCTGACGTTCGAATTAAGTGATCAATAATCACTTGGATCTGCAAGTGGCCCGCATAAATCGCACTGATGATGTCGTCTAGTCTGACGATGAAACGTTTGCAGCCAAGTCAGCCAGCTCGGAGAAAACCGGTGTACCCTCATCCTCATCCCGAGCTAAAAATATTCTCACATTTTTCTAAATCCTACTCACCTAGCCGTAGTTCATCTTCATACAACCATAAATATATTGATAGAACTAGAGTCAGCACGGATGAGAACACTCGTTCCTTGGGATGCGGATGATTTAGAGTTACAGTCCATCGTGCTATGCCGACCACCTCTCTGTGGGGATCAGCCAAAAACTTCCCCTACGTCATTATGCATGAACCAGTCCATGGTGACCACATATCCAAGCTGGACACATTTTGTCAGTCCCTTGAGTGGATGTCCTAGACAGGTTTGACTGTATTATTCGTTCATTCAATTGGTTGTACTGCACAATTGTACAACAATTTCATAAACTTTCCTGGGAACTGCACTAAATCTGCTGCTTGTCCTGGTAACAGAACGTGTGCAATAACAGCTCAACTCGAAGCACAAATAAACACTCCCATAACTACCAATCATCATTTTACACCGCGTCGTTTTCTGCTCAACCCGTGGATGAGGTAGATCACTGTAATAATCCGCTTTTCTTCAATACCATCTAAAATACGCGTGCTTTCACCATAGAATTTTGGCAATTGTCTGTAAATTTACAACATATAGTTACCGCATACTATTACAAGGAATGTGCTTGTTGCGGTTTATTTCATCCGTCTGTAAACACAGACTGGACATACATTATTTTTGGTAAATACTATGGGATTGAGCTGCCTCCTTAGATGGTTGCAGAAAACGTTTCGACAATTATAAGGCTTTTAGCTGGTTATTGCGTGACCCCAGTAATAAGCTAACAATGGAAGGCGTCACACGCACTACTTCTTTCTCCGTAATCACCTACTTTGACCTTATCTATTGGTTTTCATGATTTAGCATTATCCAATTAAGGTTGATATACTACGTCGCAGGACCCTATCCATTGATTTTGAGTTCGTCTAATAGAATGGCTAACACTCCTTGCTTTGCGGGAGGGCGGAGGGGAGTGGGTGGTTGGCGAATAAGGTTAAAATAACCTGGCCACATGCGCGCAGTAGATTTCCATTATCCATCCCCAACTCAATTGTGGCACAACTTGCATAGGCTCTGCCATCCGCTCGGCAAATGGATTTGTCCCACTAACCGAGACGAAGCCCCGGTAAACGAATATTCTCAAGGGTGCACCGCAGTCGTCTTACTCCAGGGAGTTCCGCTGTCAAATGATTGCTGCTTTCCTTCTCTTTGTGTTCAGATGATAGCCAGAGGGTATTACCCTGGGGAAGGAGGCTGCCTGTGCGCGTGGTATCGCGGCAGGCGGGATTTAATCGTTTAACAATCGGTAGGCGGAATGAACCTGTGTCATGTACAGGAGAGAAGGAGTTTGTACAGCTAAGCTTGCGAGGACACTGAGTCGGTTCGGCTATTTTGGTTCCTCTTACCACGTTTAACACGTGCATGATTAACTAGCAGTTGTGAACTTGTGGCTGATGTATATTAGACCAATGCACCTGATGATGTCCAGCTTCAAATGAGACATCCAATTGTTTTAAATTAACACGGTGCGTGAGCTTACAGTTCCAGGCGATATAGTATACATTAACACCGAAAATGATTAACACTAAGTCCATTTTCGTTTGGTGCACAATGCACTGGATCGGTCCACAATCCATGCTCAGGTAATAATCTCATTTCGGGCATAAATAATCATTATCCAGTTGGAAAAGTAGTTCGTGATTTGTAAGGATTTCTCTGTTGCTCTTCTTTAAACTGGCTCCTAAATATTGGTTCCGTCGTCTATTGAACTCAACGCGTAGAGATAGTTTGAACTGGGAATGAAAATCGGGTTCGTTTCCCAAATTAAATTAAACCGTCTTTTGATTTTAATCAAGCGAAAGCTACTGCATATTTTTGGAAAGATTGACACTAAAAATAAAAATTTGATGCGGCTCTTGTGTTTACAAGAGCTAAAGATCACTTAAAAGAAGAAAGTTGTCTGAGCTGTGTTCGCATGTCACAAAACCTCAAGTACCCAAAAAGCTAAAGTTGCAATCCCATATACCCTGAAAATCTTTACTTCACGAACCCCTTGTATCAATTTTTAAAAAAACAGCTGCGAATAGATTATCCTCTCACCTCTACTCTGTGTCCATATTGGCATGCATATTTTATGGCATGCAATGCAAACAGCAAGTAATATTTCCTATTACTTTAAAAACTGTTAGCACAGGTTGGCTGTACGTATGTTCAGATGCTCACCCAACTTGCTAATCAGTTTTATTTCTTTCATCAGTATGTGAAATTAGGTGGTGCCACTTTATATATCCTGGACTCTGCAATGCATTTCGTTTGATTGCAATCTAAACTAATTTTTCTTAGTTCCTCACTTGGATCTTCCAGGAGATGCTTAAAATCAGTCCGTGGCTGCTTGCAATTCCCTCGGTGTATGATGTTCGGAATCCGCTGGGAGGGCTCACTCAAACTGTACCGAGCAACAGCAAAAGCAAATAGCATGCTCCTCTCACACTCACCCGAAGGATCACTAACTCAATTTAGCAAACGAATGACTACAAACCATCCAAAGTTTTGTCAGTACGACAAATTGTAAGAAATAAGAGCCCTATAGAATTAACTTTGATACCCAGTGAGGATGACTGTGGTTACAAAC